GTTAGTTTCCTATTCTGATTAGAATTACTTTTCCCTATTTAAAGGGGTTGTAACCCTAATTGGGGAGGCTATTGAATCTGATTGAATTTGAGATTTTGAGAGACTTTTCTCTTTAGTTCATTTCAGAACTTTACAGAACTTATCAAGATTATTCTTGTGGCGTTCTAACCTGACTTATCATTCTCGTTCTTAATTGTTCGAGGGTGTGGTGTCAACCAACTTTATACCTCTGGTTCTTGTTGCGTCATAGACAACGGGTCAAGGTTTTTACCTTTGGTTCTTGTTGCGACATAAACAACGGGTCAAGGTCCTATTATAAACCTGATTTAGATTTCCTGGAGTTTAGAAATCCCTTGTCGTGCTGTGAGTCTCATTGTTCTCTTTGGGGTTCTCATCACTTTGTTTGTGGCCAAGGACAAGGTCAAAAAAGGAGGGATCGTGACACAGCTTCGCCACCACCTATTCCTTTCACTATTGAAGAGCTTGATGTGTTCCGGGATCAGTGGATTGCTAACGATGCCATTACATTGCCTCAGTCGCTCCGTGAGCCTAGCAGTGATGACAAGTGCAATCTCAAGTACTATCGCTATCACCGCTTTGTCCATCATTGAACCATGGACTATTTTTCCTTAAGAAAAATATATCATCGCTGGGTCTCAAAAGGATTGTTAGAGGTTTCAAACAAAAGACAAAAAGTGGATGAAGACCCTTTCCCATCCCACAACCAAGGCGCTGTCAATGTTCTTACTCATGTGGAGAGCGTCGGAACAAGTGCATCGATAGTTGAGTTTCTTGACAATGCACCCAACCTTTTTGTCCGTGCACTCCAACAAACTCTGAAGTTCAAGATGTTGTTTAATCAGCTTGGTCTCACTACTGAAGCACTACGAAGAGCCACAGAAGCCATCCTCTTTATCGCTAATGAAACTAGAGGGAAGTGCCTCAATTCTGAAGCACATGCCAACTGTGCTTATCTGGAGTCCTCCAATGCCATCACATTCACTGACAAAGATATGGAGGCACCATATCCTGACCATAGAAAGCCTCTTTATTTATCTACTCAAATCAACTTTATCGGTGTCAAACATGCATTTATTGATGCTAGATCTTCTCTTAATCTGATATCGTTGAGCACCATCATCGCTGTAGGAATTCCCCAGTGAAGGATTGTCAAGCCTCCACTCAGCATTATTGGTTTTGGCAACGGTAGTGAGCATGCCCTTGGATATATTTCGCTTGATTTAAAGGTCGGTCCAATCCAATGTCAAACTATACATTTTATGTTATTGATGCGGATGTCTCTTATCATGTATTACTGGGACAACCATGGCTGCATCGACATAGAATTATTCCTCCTACTTATCATCAATGTGTCAAGGGTTGTCTAAATGGAAAGGTTTTCCGCATCCCTGTCAATCCATTGCCATTTGACTAAACTAAGACACTGCTAAAGCTTCTTTTTATGATGAGTTTGCTCCTTTTGGTGAAGCGACAGTATCTCACCAAGTCAGCACCGTATTACCATCATGGAACGACATCAAAAATAATCTTGATCTTGATCTATGAAGCATTCTTGAGCATAAGAGGCAGAAGGAGGCAACAAAGGCTATCCAAGCATGCACAAAATGCACTCGAACTATCCTTCTCGATGGGAGGATCAAGCATACTTTATGAAGGTGCGTAAGGCTTCTCAGCCATATGCAGGATGACCCCATCGCCAGCAGTCTAGCCATGTCTCTTGATCGCTTATTCCTTGACTTAAAGAAAGACACTTTGATTGATGAGCAAATGCTTCGAAGCAGAATGTCTTACTTTTGAAGCTGGAAATAAAATATTCACTGAACATCTGGAATCTTCTGGCAAAGCCGATCATCTAATATCACCAGATAAGCTGCCAACCCTTCATGAGGCCCAGCCTGCACTTACATTTTTACTGACGAAAGAGCCTAGACGGTCAACCTGCTTCGGGAATACAAGGATGTCTTTGCTTGGAATTATGATGAGATGCTGGGACCTGATCCAGCCTTGGTGGCCCATTCTTTAAATGTTGATACTAAAGTGAAGCCAGTTGTGCAGCCAAATCGTGCCTTCCATCAAGAAGTTACTCTCAAAATTAAAGAAGAGATTGAGAAGCTCTTGGCTACAGGGTTCATTAAGCTGAACAAGAAGCCCACTTGGCTGGCTTATATTGTACCAGTTCAAAAGAAGAATGGGCAAATCAGGTGCTGCATTGACTTCTGTGACCTCAATAAGGCATGCCCTAAGAATGAATTCTCTGTTCCAAATATGGCGTGCTTATAGACAACGCTGTTGGATGTGAAACGTACTCTTTCATGGATGACAGCAATAGATATAGTCAGATCAATATGTACCTTAGTGATGTGAAGAGGACTGCTTTTTGCACCCCTATCGATAACTTTTATTATGTTGTTATGCCTTTTGGACTCAAAAATGCTGTGGCTACTTATCAAAGAGTCATGGTAGCTATTTTTCATGATTTCATCCACATTTATATTGAAATCTACATTGACGACATTGTGGTGAAGTCTAAAAACAAGGCTGGGCCACTTTGATATGTTAAAAAAGGTCTTCAACAGATGCCGTTTATACAAGCTAAAATGAACCCAGTGAAGTGTACATTTGGCATCTCTGTTGGAAAGTTTCTAGGTTTTCTTGTGAACAAACATGGCATCAGTGTGGATCCAACAAAGTTTGAAGCTATCCAAGCCATGCAGCTGTCTAAGAATCTTAAATAGTTGCAAAGCTTCATTGGCAAAGTTTCATATATCCATAGATTCATCCCTTCATTGGTCAAAATTCTATCTGTGTTCAGCCTTTTGTTGAAGAAAAGGGTTGCCTTTATATGGACAGAGGAGCAGCAACATGTCTTTTCACATTTGCAAGATTTCATGCTTAGATTGCCAACTATATCTGTCCTTGTCAAAGGTAAGCCACTTAAAGTTTATCTATCTACTTCTAACAAAGCTGTGGGTGCTCGAGTTACCGAAGATGATTAAGAAGGCAAAGAATAACTGGTTTATTATGTTAGCCAAAACCTCAAGGATGCTAAATCAAGGTACCCTCTTGCTAAAAAATTTGCCTTGCTTTGATTTATGTGTCTTAATGCCTTCGACATTATTTCTTGGCTCATAAAGTACAACTCATCACCAAGTCTTAGCCTATTTGATACCTCCTAACTCAGCCCATGCTCACTGGCGTCTTGCTAATTGGCTTCTTTAATTGTCTCAATATTATATTATGTGCATTAATCCTACTACTATCAAGGGCCAAGCTATTGTAGACTTGCTGTCTGAATTTTTTGGTGAAGTCTAGTATCCCATTTTTGACAAAGTCCCAGGTAGTGAGGTTGCCATTGTATAGGAGATCGAAGAAGAATGGACGTTGTACTTTGATGGTTCTTCCACGGTTGAAGGGGCTAAGTGATGAGAACCCCAAAGAGAACAATGAAACCCACAGCACGACAAGGGATTTCTAAACTCCAGGAAAGCTAAATCAGGTTTATAATAGGACCTTGACCCATTGTTTATGTCGCAACAAGAACCAAAGGTAAAAACCTTGACCTGTTGTCTATGACGCAACAAGAACCAGAGGTATAAATTTGGTTGATGCCACACCCTCGAACGATTAAGAACGAGAATGATAAGTCAGGTTAGAATGCCACAAGAATAATCTTGATAAGTTCTGTAAAGTTCTGAAACGAACCAAAGAGAAAAGTCTCTTAAAACTCAGATTCAATAGCCTCCTCAATTAGGGTTACAAGCCTTTTAAATAGAGAAAACAAATCCTAATTAGAATAGGAAACTAACACCCTAAGTCCTAAACCTAATAACCATGAATTGGGCCTTAAATAAATGAATGTTCAGCCCAAAATAATATAAAAAGACATCAAAATCACTAAAAGTAACCTAAAGTAACATGAAATATCAGTTTGTTACAAATTGCGACAGAATTGCGAGATTGATGCAAACTGTGTAATTTAGCACAAATGCCCTCAAGTAAGCTTCTCTTCAACCTGAATAATGTTTATCATGCCTTGACAATCATCCAAGCTTTGATTTACTTGTGCATGTTGTTATCAACCCAGATCTGCTCAATAAGGCCATTTAAAGCTCCCCGCATCTTCTTAGCTCTAGCTCTCGTGACTGGACCTCTTGGAATATGTAATGGATCTCTTGACGTGATACATGTGGGGTCATCTTGATTCCCATCACTAAGGTTGGCATTGTTCTCAAAGATGACAAAGGCCATGATATGGCATTCCCATTCAAGCTCAATTTTTTGTGCACAAACAACATGGCTAAATATGAAGCCTACCTCATCGACCTTGCCTTGCCATGGCTAGAGAGGCTGGTGTGCAGCACTTGAAAATTATTGGTGTTTCAGGTCTGATTCTTGGCCAGATTCAGGGCACCTTTGTTGTTTGAGAAGAACACCTCACGCCATATCGCTCTCTCAGCCAAGACTTAGAATAGTCCTTCGTCAGTCTCAGATATGAGCAAGCACCACAGTCAGAAAACAGGTTGGCTAATGCCTTAGCCACAATTGCCTCAGGGTGCCCGCAATTAAGAATCCTTTCAGTATCCAAGTTGTCCAAAAGGAACAACCCGTTTATCATGGCTATGGATTTACTTTGCTAGAGGTGCCTAACTGTGTTGACTGGCCGTACGAGATCTATAACGCTTTACTACAGCAAACATTTGATATGCCTTTGAAGAATTTGTCTAGCTATATTATCATTTCTTGTGATCTGTATTATCGCCTCCCTAACGGTATCACAACTAAGTGCATTAGCGATAAAGAGGCTTATCACAGACTTAGAGAAATTCATGATTGCACATGTGGCTAAGATAATCGTGTGAGCCTATACTGTCAAATTCAACAAGCAGGGTATTATTGGCCAGATATGGCACGGCAAGCCACTGAATTTCAGCAGCAATGTGTATCCTATCAGCAAACTTATTATCAAGGCGAAGAATGTTTTGTTATTGACAGTGTTCAAGATTGGCGCCATCCTTACATGGAGTATTTCGCTGAGGGAATATGGCCAGAATCCCTAAAGGATGCACACAACTTAAAGAGATCTTAGTCGAAATTTTTTATGGATGACGGATTTTTATTTCACATTAGCTTCACTGGCGAACCACTTCGCTACCTATCATTGATAGAATCTTAGAAAGTTATGGCTGAAATACATGCAGGGGAATGCGGTGAACATCAAGGACGGAGAAAGCTGTATGAGCAACTTTTAGCTCATGGTTATTACTAGCCTAGTATGAAACAAGAGTCTTCAGGTTTTGTCCAGCAATGTCACACCTACTGGTTTCATGCCAACCTTATTCATTCTCATCATAATCTGTTGCAAGATATGAAAACTCCTTGGCCTTTTCATACTTGGGGCTTGGATATCATCAGTCCTATCCACCCCTCATCCAAGGGTTATATTTGGAAATTGGTGGCCACTGAATATTTCACCAAGTGGGTGGAAGCTGTCCCTCTTTGCAAGGCTATAAGTCCAGCGGTATCAAATTTCATCAAGGAGCACATAATCTGCCACTTTGGAATCTCATACAAAATTATGAATTATAATGGAACTCCTTTTGTTAATTAGCATGTGCAAAGATTGTTGGACACTTATAAGGTCAAGCATCAGAAGTCCACTCCATACTACCCTCAAGGCAACAGCCAAGCGGAAGCTACCAACAAAAGTTTACTAAGGATTTTGAGGAAGATGGTCCATGAGTACGAAGGAGGTTGGGGCATTCATTTGCAAGACACTCTTTGGGCTCATCGGAGGTCATCCAAGACTGCCATAGGTTTCTCACCTTATTTTCTGGTATATGGCTGTGATGCTATCCTTTTTGACGAAGTCTTAGTCCCAATTGCATGCATCTTGGCTGCATCTGAATTGGACAGCAATGCTGACATTTGTGGAAAGAGGCAAATTGAAGACTTAGAGTCTATCGAAGCACTTTAGTAGGTAGCAGTAGAAAAGGCCTAAAAATATTGGGCTAAGATGTCAAATGCCTACAACTGTGCAGTCAAGGCCTGAGTTTTCATAGTTGGGTAGATGGTTCTCAAAGCCTCTGATCATGTGAGGAAGAACATCACTGGTCAATCCAAGTTTGCTGCAAATTGGGATGATCCCTTCATCATTGCGGAAGCACATGACAACAGATATCATCATTTCAAAACTTATGAGGGAGAATCATTATCAGACTTGGTAAATGCTAAGTGGCTCAAGGCATACTATTACTAGGTTTCGCCAATATCATCTATTTTGTAATTTTACCTCTGGCACTGCAATTTATTCAGCTAAGAGGATTGATTTCATCTATGTTCTGCCATTACGTGTAAAGTGCGAATAACACTCTCTTATTGTATTTGGCACTTTATGTATTAGCTTGTTTGTATACCCTTATTTCATCCTATTGCTATGTAAAGACAGGAAGCGTAAAAAGAAAAAAAAAAGGCACATATATAGCACAATAACATATAGATCCATTTTTCATATAGCACAAATATATCCGTTTAAGTACCAAATTTAATGCAATAGAAAACAAACAGGCAACAAGGTCTAGACTTTGCTGGAAGTAAAGATGTTCAACCTGAAACAAACATAACAAGAGCGTTACATCATGGCGATGATGCCAATAAACAACACATTATAAGGAAAGTAACATAAAAGGATGGAAAGAAGGCTGGGACGCATGGCCGTTCATGGCAAGAAAGGACCAGGCTTGTCTCCATAAGCTTTGGCAGCCTCGATGCAGGTCTAGCAAAGCTCAGTCGCACTATTGGAACTCAAGTGCGCCTTTTCTTGGTTGAGTGATTCTAGGTACACCTTGGCTGACACCAGTCCTTCTTCCAACTTAAGAACAAGCTCTTTCGTCTCAGCCAAGGACTTTTCCATCTCTTCGACATGCTTCACCTACTCCTCAATCCGCTCATCTTAGCTCTCAGCCATATTGCCTCCAGCCATGCCGAACTCAGTCTTCCCAAGGTATGCCTTTGCCAGATTCGACTAATGTGTACGAATGACACCAACCTTGAAGTTTGTGCTCCAGCATCATCAATGGCATCCCTACACAAATAGAAGAAATCCTCATTCATCTCAGCAAAAAGGGTTACCTCCATATGTTGCATGGTCACACAAAGGACTGAAAAGGTGTCTTCAATCACCACTTTCTTGGCTTGGCTTTGCTGCACATTGTCAAATTTGGGAAGATGTCTTGATGGGAATCAAGATGACCCCACATGTACCACGTCAAGAGATCCATTACACATTCCAGGAGGTCCAGTCACGAGAGTTAGAAAGATACGAGAAGCTTTAAATGGCCTTCTTGAGCAAATCTGGGTTGATAACAACATGCAACAAGTAAATCGAAGTGGGTAAGTTCACAATGCCTGTGATATTGGAAGCATGGGCACGTAACCTGTTAGACATGATGAGAAGCCCAAAGAAAACAATGAGACCCACAGCCCGACAAGGGATTTCTAAACTCCAAGAAAGCTAAATCAGGTTTATAATAGGACCTTGATCCGTTGTTTATGTCGCAA